CACACACACACACACACACACACACACACACACACACACACGCACACACACATCCTATGATCTAATAATTAATCTTCATTATTTAGGCCCAATATTAAACACTGCCCTTTGGATGAAACAGGATCACTTCAATCAATAGCCCTATGATTTACTGTAATCTAGAATAATTGCCCAATTAATTTTGAGACAGCTTCACCACTTTGTCCTTAAAAAAGACACAAGCGGATAGTTAGAGAACGTTAGGAGTACACTATTGGCCGATATTTATAGTAACAGCAATCTTGATTGAACTATTCTTTAACATTTAATGAGCATTATCATAACACTTTGCGAAAATGAAAAAAAAAGCTTTCTGTTTTTACTCCACATTTTTCTTTCAGATCAGCCTGTGAGACAGTAGGTCTGGAACTTCTTTTGTCTTTTGTCAGAATGAAGAACACTATTCTATGTGTTCTAGAGGTAAAGTATTCGCCTCTCATTCAAAAAGGTCCCGGGTTCAAAACCTGACACCGACGGAAACATTATTTTCTGCTTTCAGATTTTCTTCGGTTCGCGTTCTCTCTATTAAATGTGCTCTGTCTTCTGCTTTCATCTCCACTTTCTCCCCCCCTCACTCCCATCCTCGTACACCTCGGCCTCCCGCGGCTCCTCTCTCCTTCACTCTTTCGTCTACGTGAATGCACTATATGTACTTCTCCCTGCTTCTTCTTACTCTTACTGCTGTCTTTCAGCCACATCCCTAATCTTAGGGTGCTCAAAATCAAACACTTAGCCTTCCTCGAAAAGCGTAAAAAATCTCCGAGGTTCCGTGTGCAAGTTGCACATTTTACAGATCCCTTGGTCCTAAAATCGATAGGAGTATGTAAGGCCGTTGCCCGCGCAAATATTAAAATCTATTCCTACCATAACTAAAATTACTCTAGTCAGTGTAAAAACATATTAGAGTACCTTCGAAATCGGAATATTATGTGGCTGCCTGAAGGCATTGGCCGTACAAGTAGGAAAAACGGTCACATAGGTAAAAATCAGTTGCCCTGCAGGTTGAAGGAGAACTAGCAGTCGACTGCCTCTGAGATCTAGAAGAGGAACGCAAAGAAGAAGAAGAAGAAGACGAAGAAGAAGAAGAAGAAGAAGAAGAAGAAGAAGAAGAAGAAGAAGAAGAAGA